TAGTTCACCTAAATCTTTAATATCAAAAGTAGATTTAAGAAGAGACTTAGTATTTTGAATACCTTCTTTATCATCACCAGAGATGATAATATCATCAACATAGATAAGAACAACAACAATACCTGTTTCTCCCTGAATTATGAATAGCGAATGATCTGCTTCTGACTTTCTAAAACCATAATCGAGAAGGGTTTTACTCAGTTTGTGATACCAAGCACGTGGAGATTGTTTTAGACCATAAATAGCCTTCTTTAATTTTAAGACTTTGCCATCTTCAACGTCAATGCCAGGAGGTGGTAACATATAGACTTCTTCTTCAAGCTCTCCTTGAAGGAAAGCATTCTTAACATCCATCTGCCATAAATCCCAAGAGAGGTTAGTGGCAAGAGAAAGGACAACGCGTACCGTATGAAGTTTGGCAACATGAGCAAACGTGTCTTTATAGTCTTCTCCATAGGTTTGAGTGAAGCCTTTAGCGACTAATCTAGCTTTGTGCCTTTCGATTTCACCATTGCTATGATATTTGATTGTGAAAATCCATTTGGATCCAACTGGTTTCTTGTCCTTAGGAAGTTCCACCACATCCCAAGTGTTGTTTCTTTTCATGGCTCAATGTTCTTCATCAATAGCCACAATCCAAACCTCACTGTCCTTTGCTTCTTCATAAGTCTTTGGCACAGTTTCCTGGTCAATTTTGCTAAGAAAAGCCTGATGGTCAGTAGGAAGGTTAGTTAACGAACAATAAGCTTGAATAGGATGAGCAATGGCAGAGTTATAACAAAGCTGCTTTTTGATCATTGTAGCAGGATCAGTCTTTTGTCTAGTACTTCTTCTAAGAGGCACATGAGAATCATCTTCGTGAATGGCTGTCTCTAAATCTTCATCAGAGGAATCAGTGTTAGTGGTGTTTGTATCTGAATCTTGAGAAGTCTGCTGCAGGTTTTCAGAAGTCTGCAGGACGATTCCTGAAGTCTGCTGGACGTTTTCTGAAGTCTGTTGTAAGTCTGGTGAAGTCTGCTGGACATTTTCAGAAGTCTGCTGCAAGTCAGGTGAAGTCTGCTGCAAGTCAGGTGAAGTCTGCTGTAAGTCAGATGAAGTCTGCTGGACGTTTGATGAAGTCTGCCGCAAGTCTGATGAAGTCTGCTGGACGTTTTCACTTCTTCTACTGCTATTGGAGAAGTTGAGGTTTTCCAAGAGGAACTTGAGGCTCTGAGCACGATCAGATTCAGAGTTTGTCAAGTCCTTTAAGGTGTCCCAATCTTTTTCTTCATAGAAACCTTTTTCCTCATCAAACTTGACATCCCGAGACACATACATTCTTTTGTTTGTAGGATTGTAGCATTTGTACCCCTTTTGAGTCGTGGAGTAACCAATAAATATGCACTTGATGCTCTTTGGTTGAAGCTTGTTTCTATTGTCATCTGGGACATGCACATAGCAAACACAACCAAAAACTTTTAGAAAATCCACAGTAGGTTTAATTTTGTTTAGTACCTCATATGGAGAAATGTCTTTTAGACATTTGGTTGGAAGACGGTTGATGAGATAGCAAGCAGTCATGACAGCGTCACCCTAGAAGTGCTTTGGAACATTTTTATAGAACATCATAGTTCTTGCAACCTCCATAAGGTGGCGATTTTTACGTTCTGCGACACCATTTTATTGGGGAGTGTACGGACATGTAGTTTGATGAACTATTCCATGTTTAGAGGTAAACGCCTTGAACTCATTGTTTGTGTATTCACCACCGTTATCAGTTCTCAAGGTTTTGATCTTAGCATTGTACTGAGTTGAGACATAGCTGTGAAAGTTGGAAAAAGCTTCGAAAACACGACCTTTAGAAGGTAAAAGAGTTAGCCATGTGTATTTGGATTTTTCATCAATAAAAGTAACAAAATACTTGTACTGATCTCTTGCAGCACAAGGAGAAGTCCACACATCAGAATGAATGAGATCAAAACAATTTTCATAGATAGTAGAAGAGTTTGGAAACACAGTTTTACAATGCTTTCCTAAGATACATGCCTCACACTTCTCATGATCAAAAGACATTTCAGGAAGTAACATCTTAAGAGCCTTAGTATGAGGATGTCCAAGTCTAGCATGCCAAACAGAATTATTAGCAAAAACAGAACTAGGATTGAGATCTTCAATAACATAGAGACCATTTTTGTTGAACCTTCACCAATAGTCATCCCCGTCTTAATATCCTGAAACCAAATATCATTAGGACTGAAAATAGCCAAGCAATCAAGATCTTTTGTAGCCTTTTGGACAGAGAGAAGATTTGAAGCAAATTCAGGCATATAAAACGCTTTAGAGTCCTTATTAAATAATTTCAGATTTCCTACTCCTTTAACAGGGACACCATGACCATTAGCAATGATAACATTTCCAGTAGCAGGTTTAATGTTATTAATAAGATTAATGTCACTAATCATATGATGGGAAGCACCAGAATCAACAATAATTGGTTTATCAGTTTTAAGAGTAAGTGAAGCATTACCAGATTCTTTTAGAGATGCAATGCTTTTGATAAGGGCATCCAAATCCGATTTCCTAACCACATCATCTTCAGAGGCGGAAGCAGATAAAGCCTTCCTAGATTCATTCATCTTAGCAGGCTTTAGGTGTGGATGAAGAACCCAACATTTATCCTTGGTGTGCCCTTTTCTTTTGCAATGATCACAGATGAATTTGTTGTAATCACCCTTTTTGTAGGCACCTTTGTTAACGAAGGCAAGCTCACTCTTTTGACAAAACAAACTCTTGGATCCTTCTTCCTTTTGAATCTGCATACATACTTCATTCAAGTTTGGAAGCTTGTCAGATCGAAGGATATGACGAATAAGACCATTGAAAGAAGGGTTAAGAGTTAAAAGAAGCCCAAAAACTTGATCTTGAGTGCGCCTTTCATTAATCACCGCAAGATCTGCAGTTGGAGGACGAAGAGTTTCCAACTCAGCCCACAAAGATCGATACTCTCCAAAATGTTGGGTGAAAGACTTTTCTTCCTGATGTAGAGTGTTCAATGCCTTCTTCACTTCAAAGATCCGGCTGAGATTTGAAACGTTACCATAGACACCTTTTAAGGTATCCCACAACTCCTTGGCTGTCTCACAATAGGAATAGGCAGTAAGAATAGACTGCTCTAGAGAGCACTGGAGGGTAGCAAGAACCGTCTGGTCTTCCTGAAACCATTTGGATGATTCAGAAACACCAAAGGGGTTGTCAAATTTCGAGTGTGATCAGAAACCTAAAATCAGGTGCATCACATCTTGGCTCTTCTCTTGAATGTCAACAGTCACCTCTTGGGTGCTTATAATATGATTCCATAAACCACAACTGCAAAGAACAATTCTAGTAGTTCTGGACCAAAGTAAGTAATTATCCTCTTTAAGGATAACAGGAAGGGTAATCTGTTTTGAGTTTTTCATACCCAGAGAAATAAAAAACGAAATTTGGAAGATTAAAAAGCGAGAAAATAAGGATCTAATGCTCTGATACCATGTAGAAAAGTATAAGCGGAAGAGAATAGAGAATAGAGAGAATAGTGAACAGAGAGAATCTGTATATTTCACTTAGATCTGAATAGTACAAAGAGATACAAATATATAGAACGAGAAGAAGAAACTAGCTGTTACAAAAGGGGGGCTGCATGAAGGAGAGAGAAAGGACATCATGCATGAAGGAGAGAGAAGTCACACTAATGATTAGAAGTGGTTGGATTAACATCTTTCACCAGATTCGTGACTGTATTTTTTTTAGTGTCAAAATTCTTGATTGTATTTTCTCGTATGCTTCAGCTCAAACACTAACTCTAGTGTTTCACCAGTTGTGTTGGTATATTGGCGTCAGGAGTGAAGCACCTTCACCTGCACACGCAAAGCGGTTTTGTAGGGCCTCATGTCCCTCAAGAAAGCAAAAGATGCAGCCATTGTTATTGGTAAGGTTTTATGAGCTTAAGCAAAAAATAGAAATGGTGTTGATGTTTTGTGTGTGCAGAGGTAGTAGAAATGAGAGAGTATTTATAGAGCTATGATAGGTTAGTAAAGTTTTGGGATAGAGAATATACAAATTCTGATTAGCAAAGTGTTGATATGTTCGAAAATCTTTAAATCGTTACAAATCTAAAATATGCTACATATACTCTTAACCATTTTAAGATAATATCTTTAAAAATCGTTTATCATGAGACATTTCCAAGTCTTTTAGGTGGATTGAATACAAAATTAATATAGTTCCTTTTTTTTAAGAAAAAAATGTGAATTGCATAACTCATTAGTACCTATTTAGGAAACGATTTGCATCCGAAATATATCTTTGTTACAACTACATATATTTACTAAATCAATCATTTATTTGCGTTAGGATTTTTTTTAAGGAATGTTTCAAATTATTAGGATCCGAATGTCTGATTTACAGGTAAAAATCTGGGTCAAAAATTAAAACTCAATCAACATAACATCTTCAATTGGTATCAGAGTTGTGTTGACTGGTTTTAGAAGGTGCTCGGAATATAAAACTCGATCAACGTAACATCGTCACTCTCTCCCTAGAAGATTAAAATTAAAAATCCAAGCACCAGCTAAATTCAGTAAATATCTAACTAATTATACTTGAAGTGACGGGTGGATGA